CCACAGCATCATGCTACTTACTTCCTAGGTGCTAAATCCATATGAAAATCTTGGTTTTCCAGCTGCAGCCAAGTCTCACCTTAAAAAATTGTGATGATGCCAGTGTGTTTGGGGCCTTGTGGAAGAATGTTGCCCGTGACTGCCATTGCCATTTGACTTCGTAATAGCATCTATCATCTTTGATATGTTAGCAGGAGTTTGGTGGCAGGATGTATCAGACGTGTATATTTGCATTTATATTCTCCCTGAGCAAAGCTTGCGGCTCTGAGTTTGTGCATGGGTGTTGCGGGTGCTTGTGTGCAGGGGAGCCAGGGGTGTGCCAGGGACCCAAGGGGTGTGCAAGGCAGATGGGCATGGCTTTGCTTTTGCACTTCTGGAGGAAAAGCCCAGAAGCCTTTAAGTCGTATCTCCGGACCTTTGTGGAGGATTAGGATGGCTAATTGGATTTTATTCAGGGTGCACTGCGAGCTCAGCATCACAGCTAGGGAAAGCGCTGGCCTGAATAGGGAGAGGTCAGAGGAGATCAGAGAAGGCTGTGGAAAGGCAAGAAAATCCAAGTAAATGGCACAAAAACTCCTGGGTGTAAGCAGCTACAAGAAATATTCAGATTAAACAGGAGGAAAAACTTTCCGAGATAAGAGAAGCAAGACACAGGGGAAAAAAAAAAAAAAATGTCCTGGGGGCTTGTGCAGGGTCCCTCCATCTTTGGAGGTCTTAAAGCATGGATTAGGGAGAGATCTGCCAGGAATGATCCTGCCTCAGGGCAGCCGGAGACCAGATGATGTGCCTGTCAGATCTCTGCCTCCAAAAGCAGGGCTTCTGCTTCTCCTCCTCTTCTCCTGGATGAGCATGGCATCTTTGTAACCCTCCTTGGCGATCTTCCAGCAGTACTCCTAAAAATCCCCCTGGAAAGAGCTGAAATCCTGGAAAAGGGATGTCTTTCCCTGCTTCAGCCGGGGGGTGCTTTAGAGAGGGAGGGGAAGATGCTCAGGGGGCTTCTCTCTCCGAATGGCAAGGCTCCCCTTCTGCCACCGGCGCTGCAGCCGTAACTATTTTCTGGTTTAATCTCACGGCGGCCCTGCGTGTCTGAGGGATGAGGTCATGCTTGCTCACCCACAGCCTGCTGGCGCTTGCCCTTTGGTCCCTCTAGTTTGGGGAGCTGGGGGTGAGTGGGATCGCACTCCCTGCAGAGGCTCTGGGTCCCTGCATGGTGGGGTTTTGGATGTCTCCCTAACCATCAAGCACCGCCGCAGACCTTTGCCCTTCTCTGTGCATGGATGTGTGCTGCGCCCGGGATGGGCATAGGCGTCAGGTAAAAACCCTGGCCGTCCCCCTGCCCATCTTACCTGTGCCTGGGATGCTAGTCCATCCTTCCCGGGGCTCCTGCTTGCTTCTTGCAGCCGCTTTTAAAAACACAAACCAAACCAACCGGCTGGAGAAATGCTTTTTTCCTCCTTCTTTCATTTTTTCTTTTCTCTCACTTCTACCACTTCTTGCCAGAAATCAGCCCATCGTGAGGTTTGAAATCTCTGGGAAGAAGAAACGTGGTGACCGATGCCTGGAAATACAGCCCTCGCTTCTCGCTCCGGTAGAGCCCGAGCTCCTGGCTCCTGAACTCATGATATTATGGGTAGAAAAGCCAGTTTAGGTAATTGGTGGAGATTGCTCTGATTTTATTAGACCTAATGCCCTCCCCTCCAGGAGGCTTGCGCAGTTGAGCAAAATGACAGGTGCCCATAAAGACACAAAAAATAGACCCAATTAAGTTGTGGGTTTTTTTTAAGGAATCCTTCCAGCCTGGCATGAAGGTTTTCCCAGACCTCAAATTCAGGATTAATTGCACTTCGGGGTCTATAGCCGCATCTACTGCAGGCGGGGAGGGACCACCTGTCGTGGTTTAACCTCAGTCGGCAACTAAGCACCACGCAGCCGCTCGCTCACTCCCCCCCACCCAGTGGGATGGGGGAGAGAATTGGAAGAGCACAAGTGAGAAAAACTCGTGGGTTGAGATAAAAACAGTTTAATAATTGAAATAAAATGATAATAATAATAATATGATAATAATAATAATAATAATACACAAAGCAAGTGATGCACAGTGCAGTTGCTCACCACCCGCCGACCAATGCCCAGCCAGTCCCCGAGCAGCGGCCCCCCCGGCCAGCTTTCCCCAGTTTATGTACTGAGCATGACGTCACATGGTATGGAATGTCCCTTTGGCCAGTTTGGCTGTGCCCCCTCCCAGCTTCTTGTGCACCTCCAGCCTTCTCAGTCGGTAGAGCATGGGGAGCTGAAAAGTCCTTGACTAGTGTAAGCACTATCCAGCAACAACTAAAACATCGGTGTGTTATCAACTTTGTTCTCCTCCTAAATCCAAAACACAGCACTGTACCAGCTACTAAGAAGGAAATTAACTCTATCCCTGCCGAAACCAGGACACCACCCCACACGGAGGTTTGGGGCACGTCGCCTGGGTTCTGGCTCCGAGCGGTACCCGGCCGGGATGGGCAGAGCTTGGTCACACTGCATCTCTCCAGGATGGGCAGAGCTTGGGTACCGCCAGATGAAAATCAGTCTTCGGGAACACATGCTGGAGTCTCCCGGAGGGAAAACAATCTGGTTTGGGGTTTTAAAAGCAGCAGCTGTTGGCAGCTTTCTTCTCTGGAGGCTGGAAAGAAAAACTGCTCCTCCCCAGACCTAGAGGTCACCTAGTAAATGGGAAAGTCCCCGAAAAGATGTCACTGGCAAATCTCAGGGCTGAAGAGAGAAGCACCTGTTGAATCAGAAAGCAGAATTACAAAGCGTATTATCGATGGAGGAAATGGGAGCTTGAGATAAAATAGCATTCGAGGAGCTTTTTCCTGTTTTCCCCTCCATTTGAACTCAAAAATGGAAAGGAAAAGGTTAAGCCTAAAGTCAAGGAGAAGGGTCGGGGCAGAATTAAAGGCCAGGAGGGGAAAGGCGAAGCTAGGAGATGAAGAGGAGAATAGAGGGGCCAAAGCAAAGCAGAAGGACAGCAGGGAAAGGACAAGCAGGGAAGGAAAGAAAAGGACAAAACGGGGGGCAGAGGGGCCAGGGATTGCTGCAGGGGTTGCTTCTCCTCAGCTGCGGCTGAAACGGGGTGTTGTGGGGCTTTTGGGGGGCAAGAGTGAATGCGTTGGTGGGGAAAAGAAGCTGGGATGTCTGGGTACCCACGCTGCTGCCTTGGCGAAGTCCCCTCTGGGGTGTGTGAGACACCCGGGGTCTCCTCCTGCCCAGCTTGGGGCGATGCTATGACGCAGTCACTGTCTCTCCTCTCTGTTATTAATTTATTATTAAAAAATTAAATTGTTGCAGATCTTGATTTAGCTTTCCTAGCAAGAAATATCCCATATTTGCCTCGCTTTTTCACTCTTCCCATCCTCTCTTTATGCTGGGAATTGGGAGGAAGAAGGCTGGAAAGAAAAGCAACTTTTTGGTTTTTAAACGATGGTGTATTGGTGGAGATAACACAAAAATCCACTTGCAGTGGTTGATCGTTTTAATATTTCAGGCAGGTAAGACCAACGGGTAGGGCTGATGCCACTGCAAGGGTGACAAATTAATATCTCAGCATCTTGGAGCTCACGAGACCCACTGAAGGGTCTTGTTCCCACCACGCGTAGCAGGTTATAGGATTGGTACCCTATACCATTTCTTTATTACCTTTAGTAGGTCCGTATATGGGGGGAGTCGCATGTCAGTCCATGGCCATCATCGTTCAGCCAGATTTACGCTGCCGAAGCCAACGGTTTGGTAACGCTGGGGAAGTGTTAATGGTCTAGAGGGACTGGATGAGTTCATGGATGAAGAAATAGTTTCTGCTGCTGCAAAAAAGTAATTAAATGATGTTTTGTGGAGCCGTTCTTCCGTTCTTCACAAGTAAAATATGCTCTTTATTATGTGTTTCATCATAAATCTATTTAGTCATAATTAGGGCTTGTTCCAGCTTTAGTGCTCTAACAGGTGCATATCTGCCTAAATCGCCTAAAATGCTTGGAGCACAAATTCTTTTTCTATCTTAAATGCAAAGAATCTCTTACATATCACTTCTTGTGTTTAATTATGTATTGCACTATGCAACAGAAGCACGCAAACATTTCATTCGGGAAATAAAATCTGTTCTTCCAACTTGAAATTCTCTTTCTCTAGTTGAAGTAAGTTTATTTATCTCTTTTTCTGGAGGCATCTTGTGGCTTTACCTAGCGGGGTTTTTTGGTTGGATTTTGATCCCCGAGACCTCAGTGTCCCCTCCTCTCCCCAAAACCCAACCCAATCACCCAGCTAGAAGGCAAGGCTCTTCACCCTATCTGCAGCTCCAGAGTGATGCTTTGGCAGCATCCCTTCTGCATAATGCAACTTGGAGAGCGCTGAAGTACCGCTTCCCTCAGCGCTTCACCAGAAATGGCTGCAGCAGGACCATCTCCGAGAGGTTCCCCATCCCCATGTGTGGATCCTTCCTCTGGCACCCTACAGGCCCACCATCCACCCACATCCACAGTGGAGGAAAGCAGGGCTTTCCAAAGGTGGCTTTTTTCAAACGGCGGTCCTCTCCTGCCACTCCTGGAATCACTGTGCTGCTAGGCTAGGAGCAAAGCTCCAACTGAGGTCCTACCAAGGAGATCCAAAATAATAATCCTAACGGTAGAGCTGATGTGAAGTTTGCAGCCTGGCACGTTGTTTTCCCTGCTCACCTTTTCCATTGCGCTCTGGCTCCTGTGGCGGCTTAGACGATAAGGTCTTCAAGGCAGGGATTACCTCTTAGGCCAGGCTTTGTGTCGCTGAGCATAACCTGCACTGCCCCTGAGGCCCCAGGTAAGTATAATCCATGCACAACCAGCACAACTGGTATTACCGGTGCTGCAGCACAGTCCCCCCCCTGGAGATGGCCTTAGAGTCCTGTCCAGAATGAGATTCAGAAGAGAAAAATAGCTGGGCCCAGCAAATGCAAACGGTACCAGAAGGCACGTTCCTCTGCGTTGATGGAGGTGAGGTTTGGGCAAGAGATGCTGAGAGGCCCTGCCCTAGAGGGCTCTGGTGGCCGCCTGTCCCCTGCCCTGGGCTTTAAGCATTCATGTGGTGGGTGTCTTCTGCAATGAAAATAAGCGATGAGAGAAGCCCCTTTACTCTGGCATTGGATTTGTTGAAATTCTGTTTATTTTTTAGGAGACTACCTAATTTATTTGCCCCTCGTAAGGGTGATAGTGAGGAGCCTGATGAAGCACAGCACATACAGAACTGTGTGGCTCCCAGCTGCAGCGCTTTGGCAATGCCCTTTGGAAAACCCAAGAGGCGGTCATCCCTGGGGAGCCGGCAACACGGCATCCAGAAACAAGGCGCTGCTCCCGCGCAAGCGCCTTCTCCCATCATATCTCTTCCCAAAAACAGAGAGGAGGAATGAAAAAAAAAAAAAAAAAAATCCCAAATATTTGTCATTGTTATAATATGCCTGTGCTCCCAAGAGGAAATCTGGAAAGAAAGCAATGATTATAGAAGCTTTAGCACTTTTTCCCTGAGATGGCTGCTCAGCAAAACCAGATACATGCAATTCTCTCTAAACGTGTAGGGCTTAAAAGGGGTAGTAGAAAGTGCATCTGAATCCACATAGGTGAGTTTGTAATCTCAAGAAAGAAGTAACAAATTAAGCTCCTGCTATGGGAAGAAAAAATGTGGGCCAGGACTTCTCCAGCCTATTCTTAGGTAAAGGAGCAGCTCTGTCCATGCTTTGTTTATGAGGAGAAAAGGCATTTGAAGTCAGAAAGTACATGGATGTCTTAAACTTTTTCTAGAATGTCTACAAGGCTGGTAGGTCTTTTTTTTTTTTTTTTTTTTTTTAAAAGGGTTGCCTGGG